CCGCAAAACCTAAATTTGCACCTCAATTTGACACAACATAATGCATTTCGTTGCTTTTTCAACAACATTGGATACATAGGACATCACCAAATATTTGCTAGAATAGCAAGACCAAAGAAAACAAGAACAACAATTATGCATTTTAGAAGATTTCCAACTTCCATAACTGCTCTCACTAGTTGAAGCAATATTTTTTCCATGCACTCATTGTTGATCTGCAGATTATTGATCTTGCATTCTTCATTCTTCTTCTTTGGTTCTAAAAAAATAGACGTTGCTTCACTTCTAGTCGCACATGCAGGTGCTTCATTGCCTTCGATTGTACTAAGGAGTGCAGGCACGTCTATTAAGTTTCTTTCTATCAATAAATCAATGTATTCGCCTTCCCAAAACCAAAATGAGCATCCATCTTCCTACATGCATGATGATGTTCGAAATGAGCTAACGCAATTGAACCAAAGAATAAGCTATCTAAATGAGCCGAATGAAAACAAGACGTACCCTGTTGTTTTCACATTTGATGAACACCCATCCGGGGTGCTTCGGCGTGACCGAAGTCAGCCGTAGCACTGTCCGCGCGCAGTTGTCGCATTGTATGAGCGGCATCGGCGAGCCACAGAGCCTCTGCGCGAGCGCCGAGCCCGGCGGACGGTCGGCCGAATCCATGCCTGCAAACCATCGGCGGCGGCGAGAGGACGAACCCGCACCTGCATGCGGCGATGCGACTTTGTCGGGGCTGCGCGAGATGCTCCCCGACTATTCCATCGCTTGGCGCAGCCACTGGCAGCCGGGAAAGCCAAATCCGGCCACCCGCGATGAAGGGCTGCAGATCCGCAACTTCCCGGCCCACCGACGCAAGAGGAGGGGGAGGGGGCGGAGGGCAACCTTGTGCGTGTGGCGGCCTTTCGGCGTGCTCCTGCCGGCTACTTTCGCCGGAATCTTGGGCGGCGGTCCGACGACGGGGCGAGGGGGAGAGGGGAGGTGGTTGGTGGGGAAAAACGCGGGCTGAAATGTCCTCCCTACCAACCGCTCCCGCTATATGCAGGGCACCAACGGGCCGGTGGGGGGGGTGTATTCGCGGGTTGCGGTAAAGTTTTTGCCGCGCCCCTCAAAAAATTTTGCGGGCCGGCCGCGTTTGCGGGGTTTGTTCGGGCGGGATTTTCCACGCCGACCCGCATTTTGACGGTTATTTTATGGGTCAGGGCTTTTTGCGAGGTCTGCTAGAGTTGTTCTTATAAAAATAAATAACTGTGACCAATAATGCTGCATCTGTGAGACTAGGCATGCATCCAAGTGATGGATTGTGGACAATGGACGTTGGAAAGAATATGTTGTGAACAAATCATACGGCATCTGCTGCTCGACTTTTGATTTCTATACATACTAGCAAAGAGCCCGTTGTTACAATGGGAGGAAAAAATTAAACACATCCCTAACCTAATAACCATGACTCAAGATCTCAATAAGTCCACGTTCTTTATTTCAACATGACATCTCATCTATGTTGTCGCTTATCCTTCTTCCCATCTTCACAGACGGTGACCTCAATGCTCACACAACCACGACATGTTTAAATGTGGTCAATCATAAGGCGTCTCTCTCGACATAAAATGAGAAATCTATTGCTTTTCTCCTGTGAGGTTATTGATGGTTTCTTTTTTCTCCGATCTGATTTTGCTGAGGTGTTTTGCAATTTGAATCAGCGCCAATAGGAAAGAAAGACAGATCGTGCGCTTTTGATTAATGTTGCACCATAAATTACATTTTTAAATATTAACAGGTAAAATAACATCATATTCGAATTTTACACATTTTTCTAATCAAACTTCATATATAATATATGAAAAATGAAGTTAGGGTTTATGAGATAAGGATATTTTAGAAAAGTATTTGCCGTCAGTGGCTATTGTGGTCTTCAAAGCCTTGTATGGTAAGGGCAGTTTTTTTTGCTTACTTTTGGTGCAATGTATTTTTCAATCTTCAACAGGGGTGTACAATCGAAGGAGGAAGAAAACATTTACTATGTAATTTTATTTGGTATAGTGGTTGTCTTGTGTTTTGTTGTCTTCACATTCTATGTACTGTCTACTACTATTTTCCTCGAGAAATTTCAGTTCTAACATGCTCTTTGGGTGACTTTTCTCAGAAAATGGGGAAGCCTTTCAGGTTTCAGCCAAACGTCTGATCCGAGAGAGGGGTTGAACCAGCGTCAGGCCATTCGATGCCCACGAGCCGCCGAAGACGCGCTTGAAGCCTTGCAGGGGCACGAGGCGCCAGCCGAAGAGGGCGACTACAGGAGACGCATGGTCGCGCGGAGATCCACCTCGTCGATGTCGACGTCCGGCCGCAACGGCGGCGCGCCGGGACGCCTCTCCGGCCAGCTGGACTTCCTCCACGGCATCGTTGGTGCCCTTTCCTCCGTACGCTGGAAGCGCCGACAGGTCAGCTCTCGACTCGACTGCCCAGTGCCCGCCAGGTGCTTGTGTTTATTCCCATTCGTTTCCGCCACGTTAGCTGGAGCAGCAGCTACCTGGTGTTCAACTGACTGGGGCGCGACGCGCGAGAGCCCACGATATTCTCCACGGTTGCTTGGCCTCGACTGGCTACTGGCTGTCTGTGGTCTCGGGTACTCAGTCTCACTAGCTAGGTGATGAGTATTTTGGGACAAGTGTACTAGAATTAGTAAATGTTTTGATGGTTGTGATTTTCTTGTATGCATCCTGGGATTGGGATCCCACAAAAGACAAAACTGTTTGTCTAAGGCAACCCAAATATATATGATTAACCACCCTTGTGCAATTTCAATCAATTTATAGAATTCACATATGAGTTTAAGGAATCGGGTGACCCAAGTCTTGCCAAATACGATCAGGTTTTTGCCACTGATGGCTTTAATCTTAAGCAAAAGCAAAAGCAAAAGGCAAAAGGGAAAGAAGAGGAGCACGTGAGGAATACTAAATTACTACCACCAGCACGCAAGGCACAGTAGCATCCAAAGCAACAATGCCCTCCACATTCCATCGAGAGCCTAGCCTTCATTAGAGAAGGACCTGCTGGTTCCGGTCATATCTTTGTTCCTATAGACAAATAAACAATACTCACGACCACGAGCGGACGGGGAAGCAAAAGCACTCCATTCATGAGCCTCTCAAGTGCTGTGCAATGGTGGGAGGACTGGCAACTGCGCATCCTCGTTCTCGGCAGCCTCTTTGTTCAGTGGCTCCTCTTCTTCTCTGCCAGCATGCGTAAGCTCCCTATCCATTCAACCGCCAGGGGAGGCAAGATTGTAGCTCTGGGCAAGGCAATAGCATTCTGGAGGTGGTATGGGCACCGGTTCTCCTGATCCACCTGGGAGGGCAGGACCTCATAACTGCCTACAACATTGAAGACAATGAGCTATGGACGCGACACATCTTCACCTCTGTATCTCAGGTCACCGTAGCCATCTACGTGTTCTGCAAATCATGGCCAGGCGGCGACATGAGGTTATTGCTGGCATCAATCTGTTTATTCGTCGTGGGGATCCTCAAATGCGTTGAGAAACCCCAGGCTCTCAGGAGCGCTAGCATTAACAGCCTAGTCAGCTCTTCTGGCCCTGCTCTGAGAAGGAACACAGACGGAGAAGGCGGGATCAATTCGCTTGAAGACTACGTGAAAAAAGCAAGGGCTTTTGTCCAGACCAACCCCCGTCATCAAGCACAAGAAGGTGATGCTCAAGCACAAGGAGAAGACGCTGCCATGGACATTGAGGCCGACTATCAGCCTCGAGCACATGGAGAAGTTACCACCATGGATATTCAGCCTGACCACCATCCTCTGTCCTCGAGCACATGGAAAAGCCGCCTAAACCAAATAATAGAAGAAAGAAGCCGCCGTTACAAACAAAGGGTAAAAGAAATAAAAAGCCTAGTTGATGACTATAATATGACCCTTGAGGTCTATAAGCTATTTCTGGACCTTGCATCATCATATCATGATCGGCTTGCTATCCTTGAATTCATCTGGGTACGTGATGGAAACCAAGCATATGGTTTGTTGCAAAACAGGCTATCCGGCGCGTTCGATCTTCTCTACACCAAAAGAAAGATGTTCAGCCTAATGGAAAAAAGACGCAAGGAAAACTCAACAATCTGGGTTTTTCTTTCTGACTGCGTACGTGTATCAGCTGCATTTCTGCCATGGGCAGCCATCAGCCTCTTCCACAAGAGTCACAGAGATGCTTATAATGCTAACGATGTGAAGGTTACCTATGCCTTGTTATGTTGTACAGCAGTGCTGGAGATTTGCTCTTCTTGCATGACCATGAGAGACCAAGGCTATGCCGGTTCTGACCAAGGGGAAGCCAGTTCTGGTTCTCGGGTTGCTAAATATAAACAGGCAAGAAGAAGAGTTGTGCTGCATTTAAGAGTAATTGTTATCTGGTTCCAGTGTCCACCGATCATGGACTGGCTCGCTAACCTTCTTAGGGCACTAAGACAGTTCAGCAGTAAGGCACTCTTAAATAGCTTTGTAGCCCAATATAATCTGGTATGGTTCTTTGCATGTAACAAAAGGCGGTCCTCCTGGAAGATGCACATCGCGAAATTCTTTAACTGCAAGGACTTTGTTGACCAGTATTGTGGGTCCATGGTGCCCTGCAACTCAACCGTTGCAATTACAGAGTTGGTTCTGGAGTATGTGAAGAAAGGATGGGAAGATCAAATAAAAGATGCTGACAGTTATTGGAAGTTCAATGATCGCAGGGGCTGGGGACTCTTCAGGTCAACAAGTGCGACCAAGAGCTGGGCTACAGCTTAAGGAGACCATTCGATGAGAGTGTTCTTCTCTGGCACATCGCCACGGATTTCTGCTTCTACTACATTGGCGCATCAGCAGATCACCAGTGTGCCACTGCTCAGTGTATTCAAGATGCTTCTGGTGAGGGTCATGGGTGTGCTGTTTGGTGTGAAAGATCTCCTCATCATGAAAGAGCCAATCGGTGCAGAGAACTGTCCAACTACATGATCTACCTACTCTTTATCAATCCTGAGATGTTATTGCCTGGCACTAGGCGGAATCTGTTCACAACTGCTAATGCGGATCTGGAGGAGATCCTCAAGGATGAAAATACATCGCTCAAAAAGATTCTCAAGGACGAGCCTTCACTCATGGAGATCTTGGGGAAAAAAGATTCAAATATCTGGATTATTTGGAAGGTCTTGTTCGACGCCAAAAGAAAATGGCGTGAGGAGACCAAAAGAGGACTTGTGCAAACAGTAATCTCCAAGGTGCAGTCCACAGAATGCAGTGAAGTTGTCGCATGCACAAAATTGTCACCGAATGCAGAGACAATCTCCAAGAAGCAGCCCACAGAATGCATAGAATTGCCGTCAGATGCAGAGATACTCTCCAAGGTGCAGCCCACACAAGGTTTTATCATTGATGCATGGAAGCTTGCTGAAGCATTGTTAGATTTTGGTGATGAGAAGAAGATGTGGGAGGTGATTGAAGGCGTGTGGGTGGAGATGCTCTGCTTCTCGGCCAGTAAGTGCCGAGGGTACCTACATGCCAAGAGTTTGGGCACTGGCGGGGAGCTGCTCACATATATCTGGCTCCTGCTGTCGCACATGGGGATGGAGACCTTGCCGGAGAGGCTGCAGAGGGCGGAGTTTTCAAGTGGAGAAGGAAATGCCGGTGCCTCTTCATCGACTTCCCAGGTCAGCGATCCCACCGGGGAAGCCATTGTTTGAAAAACCATTTGTACTCTGCATTCCAATCTTAGTTGCTTATTTGCTTACCCATGGAAGCCTTTTGTGTCATCCTTTCATTGCGATGATTTTTGTCGTTGTGCCATTTTTTTGGAGATATTATAACTATGAATATGTGCTATACCAGACATCTGGGGGCGAAGATCCACCACCCTTCAGGGACTCAAGGGCTCATGAAGCTGCTGGTGGTGCATCTACGTCTCGGCCTCAAGAAATAGTACCAGCTGAATAATTATCTGAGAAAAGCACTAGTCCAGTTTGATGCCTGGCAGACTATTTGTGTGTTGTGTTATTTGAATTGCCAGATTAATTACCTTTTATCTCTTCAATGATCATGTCTGTCGTATGGGTGCCAGGTACTCCACGGATGCATGTCCCGTGTTGAATTCTATAGCATGTTTGTTTGTAAGAGTGGATTTGGTGTGATTGGAGTCATTTGAACCGATGGTTTACCCGGTTGATGTAATGAATGTATTGCTACCCAATTGTCAGAAATTGAAGTGCTGGTTTTCTCCCTCAACCTCCAATACGTGATATACCAGATAGATACATGCTTGGGAGGGGATGGAAAGACGCTACTGCTGCTGACGAAATGAGTAACCTGATAAATTATTGCCGAGCATCTCCAACAGGCGTGCTATAAACGCGTCGCGCCGAAAAAGTAGTGGTTTTAGCGCGCGCTACCGTTCCCGGCGCTCCAGCGGACGCGCAAAAATCGCGCGCGCGACATATGTAATTCAACGTGCGGGCGGAAACGCCATCGCGTGCCGCTTATTTGCTGGGCCCGCTCCCGCGCGCTGCACTCTCGAACGCTCGCTCTCACTCCACCAACCCATCCAGCCGCGCCGCCGGCGTCGCCCCGCGGCACCCCATTTTTTCCGGCGACCGTTTCGGCACTTCCCCGGTATCTTGCCGCGCGGGCGCGGCTTCCTCCCTCTCTCTCTGGTCAGCGCCGCCGTCGCGCAAGGCAGTCTCCGACGAACAACGCCCGGCCGCCCACCGCCACTTTGGCGCCCGCAAGGTGTTTGACAAAACGCCCGCAAGGTATGTATTGCTTCCAACTTCAACTTTTTTGCATGAAATTTGGTGCATGTTATTTATAGCCTAGTTTTGAACATTTTAGATGAGTTCGGGCTATAACTCTTCCAAAGAAGAATTTGATATGGAAGAGGAGGAGGATCTTGTAATGATCCTAGATATGCACATCAATTAAAAACCGAAGCACGGTGGTTCGGTTATGGGTCGGTGGTTCGGTTATGGGTCGGCAGAAAATTTGGAGGGATAGGATTGATGCCCACAACAGATTGATGAAGCACTATTTTGTGGAGAATCCCACATACCCCGAGTCCTACTTTCGTCGCCGGTTTAGGATGAGCACCGAGTTGTTCAGGCGCATTGCAGAGAAACTAGCGAGCCATGATCGGTTGTTTCAGCAGAGGAGGAATGTCGTCGGAGAGCTCAAGCATGGCACCTTTCAGAAGGTGATAGTCGCTTTGCGTATGTTGGCATACGGTATTCCGGCTGATCTAGTTGATGACCACTTGGCCATGGGTGAGAGCCAAGCCATCATGTGTGTCAAGCGCTTCGCAGTCGGAATTGTGCAAGTGTTTGGCCCGGAGTACTTGAGAACTCCCAATGCTGAAGATGTCGCAAATCTATTGGAGTTGAACAAAGCTCGCGGGTTCCCAAGTATGCTAGGCTCAATAGATTGCATGCATTGGAGTTGGAAGAATTGTCCAAAGGCATGGCATGGACAATTCCACGGACAAAAAAAGGGTTCTACTATAATCCTTGAAGCGGTGGCCGATCACGAGACTTGGATTTGGCATGCTTTTTTTGGAATGCCTGGATCTTTGAATGACATCAACATTGTCAACCAGTCAACACTAATGAGTAGGATTGCAAATGGTGAACTGCCACCGGTGTAGTTTGTAGCTAATGGTCGTACATACAACCATCGCTACTATCTTGCGGATGGCATCTACCCAAAGTGGTCAACATTTGTGAAGCCGTTGAAAAAAACGGAAGGTAAGAAATATCTTGATTTCCAAAATGCTCACGCGGCGGCTAGAAAAGATGTGGAGAGAGCTTTTGGGATTTTGCAAGCCCAATTTGCTATTGTGAGAGGCCCGGCTAGATTTTGGGATCAGAAGATGATTTGGTACATAATGCATGCTTGTGTGATCATGCACAACATGATCATCGATAATGAGCGTGGCCAAGATGTAGACTACTCTCAGTATGAGCTCTTGGGACATCCCGTGCGAGTGCGGCGGAGGGCTGGAAGGGTGCCCGTTTTGTTGCCTCCTATCATGCCATTTGACATCCTGCGGCGCATAATGAACTCAAGAAGGATCTCATTGAGGAGTGGTGGATTTAGAATGGCCGCCGTAGATCATCATGATTTGTGTGTTTGATGTTGTATTGTTGAACTATTTGTTGTATTTCTCAAAGTACTATTTGTTTGATGAGTTGTAATAAATTGAACTATTCATTTAAACTTGGTTGTAAATGATGTTTGTGATTTAAAAATTATGCCATGTCTTTGTTTTGAAAATGCAACAAATGTGGATGCACGGCTGCTCGCACGCGCTGCATTTTGGCGCGGCGGCTGGAGCCAGCGCTGTGCCCCGCGCCAAAACTGATGTTGCACGCGCCGCAAACCAGATTTTTGCGCGCCGCACGTTGGGCGCCTGTTGGAGATGCTCTTATTTACATTAGAGTTGGAAATAACCTGTGTCTGTATTAGCAATCTGCTATGTTTGATTCTGATTTGCCCAGTCAACTTATTACTGCTATCCAGATGTCGTGATTCTGATTTGCCCAGTCAACTTATTACTGCTATCGAAATATCTACAAGATTTGTTGCAATGTTGCTCCATCACAAGAACAGAGCGTTCAACCATGCCAAGGCTAGAGATTTCCTTCTTCGCGTTCAGAAAAATTTATAACTATGTTATTTGTATATATCAGACACATGGTGGTAGAACCTCATAATGCAATGCAGTTTTCCTCCTCGAATCATCCAGTGCCGCTGCTGCGTCGCGCCATCCGTAAAACAGAGCGTTGATGACGCAAAAGGTCAGGTTGCAGCTTGCTTGCATATGCAGGGAAATCTTATAACTGTGATGTATCACGGGTAACCAAAGACATGGGGATGAGGACTTCGGCCAACAGGCGTCAGATGCTCGAGCATCATGAAGAAGAAGCCGATGCTGGCTGGCGCATCTACCTGTCAACAAACTGAAGAAATACCAGCTGAATAATCTGAGAAATTATTATCTCTTACACGTGCGTAATCCTGTGTCTGTCTTACGCATCTGCAGTTCCACTCTTTTATTTACTGATTGCGCGTGCCATGTTTGGTGTGTTGCACTATCTGCACCTGCTCTTCTGTGCAGCTTAATGAAACTACTATGGTTGCCCTGAATGACATAATATGATCTTCGCACGCTGTTCATGTATGACTGATGGATGGTTGCTCCATTCCTGCAGTGAGCATGCCTGCAACACCATCGCTCCATGCTGCTGTACATTTATTTAGTTGTTAAACGATGATGCCTTTCAGTGCAATCACCTATATATATGCATGCTTCCTGCCGTGGTGCATGGGGGACGGAGATCTTGCTGGGGAGGATGCAGAGGATGGTGCTTTGAAGCGGAGGAGGAAATGCCGGCGCTCCACCGTCGACTTGCTAGGTCAGCACCGCCATACTTCTCTCGTGTTTCTAATCATACGTGTTGCTTATTTCATACCTGGTGGAAGACTTGTCCTGATTGTTCATTGTCATGTGTTGAGTGTCAGTGTGATTCTCTAGTGCTCATGTTCTTGAGATGAACAAGTGCCTTCATGTTGGCTGTTAGCCTGCTACGGTGTGTAAGTGTTTACCATGTTCGTAAGAATGGATTTGGTGTGAGAGGGTCAAGTGAATGGTCGTGCCGTTTTGTGCAATTTCTCCAAGTGTTGCTGCAATGTTGCCCCGTCTCAGATACATGTAATGGGAGGGAAGAAGACCTTGGCCAACAGGTTCCAGAAGTTGAGATGTTGGAACCTCATGTCATGAAGGAACGGATGTTTGCTGAGGAACACCTGTAGCATATGGGATGATGGTTGGCTGTCAAGTATGGCTATTTGCGGCAGCTCTAATTCTCTTCCTAATGAAACTGTACTCGATCAGCAATGTTCCAAAACTGATGCTTGAAATGTGCTATCATTTATTTATTCAACATACTCCCTCCGTATCAAAATATAAGAGGTTTTCTACATTGTCAGTGTCAAAAAACGTCTTATATTTGAGTGTGGTTTTTCTGTACCCAGGATAAATGCACCCACACTGCACCATTATCTAGCCCGTCCATGCAGTGAAGCTCTCCTTGAGATCTGTTCCACAAACAGTAGATGCAGCAGAGATTAAATCATATAATGAACAGTAATCACTGCTGGACATTTCTCTCTTCTCCCGTCGTGTCCCAAATAAACTATTCTGTGCGCACACGCACAATAGCACAACGCGATATCTCTCTCAGAGTTTTTTCTTCCAGTTATAAACTATTCTGGCTTTTTCTATTTGGCCAAGTACAAAAAGTATCTCTCTCACGCAGTTTCTTTCTTCCATTGAGATAAAAAATAGCTCAATCACGTAGTTAAAACTGTGAACCACTCTCTGCCCATCTCTCTCTTCCCTCACGCTCCGGTTCTCTTGGTCAAAGTTCTCCGGACATGCATGCACATCATAGTCTCTGTCAATCTCTCTCTCCCACTCGCTTTCTTTTTTTTGCGACAGAAAGAAAGTTTTATTCCATAATCAGGGGATTACAATCGAGAGGCACCAACTCCTCAATACAAGGTGGGCTCCTTCCCAGCCATACAGCAGTAGTAAACTCCGTACGACTATACAATGCCAACCGATGTGCTACCCTATTCTGCTCACGCTTTATTTTTGATGGAACAAACTCCCGATCCTGAAGATGACGCTTGATCTCTAGTACCAAATGCCCATACACCGACCTGGACATACTGTCCCCGGTCATTGCAGCTAATGCCGTTGATGAATCTGATTGAACCACAATTGGCAAGGATGTGTGCTACAGGGCCAAGGCCATACCCTGCATTATTGCATGTAACTCTGCTTCCAGCGCGTCATTACAATTGAATATACATCTGTAAGCCGCGAAGATCACCCCACCCTCATGGTTCCGAAGTATCATTCCTGCTGCCGCCGACCCGTCCTC